AGACATGCTTAAGTCAGATTTGTACCAATGAAATTTAGTAACACATGAGTAAATACGAGAACAGGGTCATTCGACAAATAGAGACGTGCTTTATGAAAAAGCACATTTCCATATGTTCGTGAATGAAGAAGTATCTTAAAAGCGATTGTTTTTGGATCAGCTATTCTATGGAATGGATTATATTACCTAGTCAATTTGCAGAGGATCTAAGACAATAATCTGGTTAAAGTGGTTTCTTGTGTATCAGGGTGAATTAAGAATGTGAGCTTAAAGTATCAATAAGAAAGAACGATAATAGCCGCGAGTGAATCGATAACTGTATGAAAACAATTATGCCCACAAAGTCGCTAGGTAAGAGCGACGATAATCTACATATTCTGAGTTCATCACCTTCGTGTCATAAGATCTAAAGTATCATAATTTTTATCAGATATTTAAGTGTCAGAACAAAAGATAAATTAATTTCAGGCTACCCTATATGATAGGATTGGCCGAATCCAGCATAAATTTAACATGCTTATTCCTTATGCAGCTTTATTTAGCGATATTTCAAAAGTATACTTATTAAAATATAATGATTAAATTCTAACAACCGGTTGCAAACTAGATTTTTAGAAAATTAAAATTAAAATAATATTCCCACCTAAGCTGATTAACAATGCCAAATTATTTGAACCTTTTAGTCGATAATTTAACAGTTTGCATAATTATATCCAATTCTACTACTTTGTGATTCAAATTTTGATAGTGCTTGAGGCGATGAAAATCTACATATTTTGAGTAGAATTCGAAACTATAACCATGTTTACCAAATAATTAATACATTATTGGACATCTATCTCCATGGCTGTATTCTATTACGTTATTAATTTCCTGCATTCTAGGGTTAGTTAGATTATAGCCTCAATAGCTAATAATTTTACTCTACTTCAGATCTAAGGACAAAAATTCAGTGATTTCTTGCAACGCAAACAAGTATACTGCATTGGTTGTAATAAAATAAGTGTCTGACTACAGGCTTTCAAATGACTCAGTTAATTCAAGTTAATTCAAGAAAACAGTAAATCTAGTGAGCAAATGTATAACCTGCAAAACATAGTTCTGATAGGGTTTGTGAACGAAAGGAAGCTCAACATGCCCTATTCGATTTATCACATCACTGGCCAATGTTAAACCGGCATAATGTTGTGGTACTTGTTTATCGGCCAGCTACGAGGTCTGGCGTCAGTAACATCAATATCGAGTGTGCTTTAGTAATCTCTAATTCAAATATAGAAGTTCTTTCTATCTTAAGCGGAATGCTATATAATGTGCCATGATGCTAGATAGAATACAAAATACTTCAGGTCTCATTCCAAAAATTTATGACACCTATATTTAAATGGTTAAAGAATTTTCGTAAAAAATACTTATGGTGCCAGTAATTTTAGATCAGATAAAAGTTTGAGTCTGGAAAGTCAAAAGCTCTAAAGAGGGTCCTCAGGAATTGAGTATAGTGGATATGACTTATTTGACTTAGGAGTTAGATAGACTTTTAAACGTAGATATGTTGACCAAGATGTAATAGCCCCCGTTATGGTTGTAGTCTCCTTTCATTGTATGAAAATGGGCTGAACTAGTTTTCAAAACTTGATCGTATTGCCAGGGCGACCTAGATATACTCATCTTGTACAGAGTCCTCCGCTATAATAGATATGATAATTTCCAGCATTGGACCGTGGAATTAGGACATTTCCAGACGCTTAGTTGGCATCGCCAGCGAGTTGTGCCAGTTTTAGCACCAAGCTAACACTCGTCAAAAAAACAAGTAAAGTCAACCTCTTGACAAACTTTCTGCAGAGCAGTTATGTTAGCATTTATGTCTTGGTTCATACACCCACCCGCAATGCTTGGGATTGACCCCTTAGCTATTACAACTTTCACTCGACTAAAATTAAGGTGTTACTTTTTGGAAAATTTTGTCGGGCGCTATCAAACCTTCTGTTCACCTTACCCTCTATCTCGATTCGAGGGCAAGTAGGTATTAGCTACACTTGACGAGTTGTGACTTGGTGCTAAGAATGGCAGGACTTATTGACGACGCCAACTACAACGTCGGCGAAACGTCTAGGAATGTACCAAGTCTACGACCCAATGCTAGAGCCACCATAACTACTATAGCAGAGGAATATGGATAAAGTGCGCCCAACTAGGTCTCTCCGACAACACGACCAATTTGCGAAAATGAGGTCGTACCACTTCTATACAGCGAAAGGCAATCTTGACCAAAACAGAGGCCAAAACCTCTTGATCCTCATGTCTACAAGTTTCCTATATATCCTCTCAGAAGCGACAAGGTAACGTGCTGACCTTTAGTTGGTGACGGTATATCTTCCAGACGTCAGCTACCGTTTGTCGGCTGTACATTGAATAGGCGAGTAGTGTGCGCCGGCGCAACTGAGCGCTTTCATAGTGCGGATGATTAGTGATGGCAAAACAAACATCACCATCGTTTTTGGATTCTGGTGGAACGGTAGAGATGAATGGCGCCTCAGGCAAACCTATGAGTCGGAGCTGCGCCATGCGCACCATGGATCCGGAGAATACCCAACAGGGCTGCTCGTCTATTTTCGAAGGTGATTTAATACCGACTGTATTGATTGCCCAAATATAGAAGGTTCGCAGAAATTATAATTGACATTGTTGTTAGTAGTTGTTATAGAAGTACTTTTTTCGAAAAGGAAAGAGGTGTGGATCATTAAAATAAAAAATACAAATTAGCTCTTGTAAATAAAGAGTGGAAATAAAACCAAAATAACTAAAAAAAATCTTAAAATTCTTGCATTCATGTTTATTTGACTAAAAAAGAGAATTCCAAAGTGCATGGATAGATGATATTTATCATCTAAATTTCATAATTGCCAGAATATTTCACTCTCACTCAACACTCTTTCAGATGGATGGGGTTGATACAGGAGAAAAAAGTAAATGTGGTAATAGCTATTTCCTTGTCTTAATAGAAATTGTTTGGCCCAGAAATTTTGACGTATGCTAAGTCATGTGAGTAGTTATTCTAGTCCATCCATCCTCTTTTCTATAGTCTCAAATAGTTACCACTAAAGCGCATACGAGTATTCTTTTTATTCAGGATGCTGAC